ATCACCACGGACGCGTCAGACTACGCGGTCGGCGCAGTGCACGAGCAGTGGGTGGAGGGCGCTTGGCAGCCGCTCGCCTTTTTCAGCCGCCAGCTGACGCCTAGAGAACGCAAATACAGCGCCTTTGACCGGGAGCTCCTCGGACTTTATTTGGCCGTGCGACACTTCCGTTTCATGCTGGAAGGCCGTGAATTTACGGCGTTTGTCGACCACAAGCCGCTCACCTTCGCCATGTCAAAAGTGGCGGAGCCTTGGTCGGCACGTCAGCAGCGGCAGCTGTCCTACATATCGGAATTCACTACGGACATTAAGCACGTGGCTGGCAAGTCGAACCTGGTTGCTGATTGCCTCTCCAGGGTCGTCATCGGTGCCGTCCAGTTGGGCCTGGACTATACTCGCATGGCGGCAGACCAGGTCACAGATCCCGGCGTCCAGGCCCTGAAGGTGGAGAGCGCGGGGCTGCGCTTGGAGGACGTGGTGTTCTGCGACGCGGGCATTACTCTCCTGTGTGACGTCTCTACGGGCCTGGCGCGGCCTGTCGTCCCTGCCAGCTGGAGGCGTCCTGTGTTCGAGGCTGTGCACGGCCTGTCACACCCCGGCGTTAAACCTTCGGTGCGTTTGGTAGCGGCGAAGTTCGTTTGGCAAGGACTGAAAAGGGACGTGAGGACTTGGGCCAGGGAGTGCGTGGCTTGTCAACGCGCTAAGGTGCACCGCCACACGAAGGCCCCGTTGGAGCGTTTCCTGGTGCCTGAGAGGAGGTTTGATCACGTCAACATTGACCTGGTTGATCCGTTGCCTTCCTCTCAGGGGTTTTCCTACCTCCTCACCATGGTGGACAGAACGACCCGTTGGCCGGAGGCGGTTCCGCTCGTTTCGACATCAGCCGCAGACGTTGCCCGGGCCTTCATTGCAACGTGGGTGTGCCGTTTTGGCACCCTGTCAGACATTTCCTCAGACAGGGGCTCTCAGTTCACGTCCGAGCTCTGGAACGCTGTGGCAGGCGGTTTGGGGGTTAAGCTGTACAGGACTACCGCTTACCACCCTCAGGCTAACGGCCTCTGCGAGCGCTTTCATCGCTCCATGAAGGCGGCCCTCAAGGCCGGCCTTACGGACGGTAACTGGGTCGACAAGCTGCCCTGGGTGATTCTGGGCCTGAGGACCGCACCTAAGGAAGATCTGCAGTGTTCTACAGCGGAGATGGTCTACGGTCAGCCGCTGAGAGTTCCGGGGGATTTCCTCCCAAATGCATCGGCTCCCTGGTCGGCGTCGACCCAGCGGGCTTTCCTGCGTGACGCCGCTGAGGCCTTTGCTCCGATCCCTACTACTCAGCACGGTACTCAGGTGTCCCAGGTTCCCGCAGAGCTCCGCTTGGCGGAGCACGTGTTCATCCGGCACGATGCGCACAGAGGCCCCCTGCAGCCCCTTTATGATGGGCCTTTCCGGGTCTTGGAGCACGGGGACAAGCACCTGGTGGTCGACCTGGGTGGCAAGGCCGAGCACGTCTCGGTGGACCGGGTGAAGGCTGCTCACCTGGACTTGGACCAGCCTGTGGTGCTGGCTCGACCTCCGCGACGGGGCCGCCCCCCGGCCTCGTCCCCTGTCACGGATTTAAGACCTGTTGTTCCGGTCCCTCCCCTTCCGGGGGCCGCACAGGCGGGAGTCACTTTTCCGACTCCCGTGCTCAGGAGTCGTGGGGGTCGGCGTGTCGTTCCTCCCCGCCATGCTGATTTTGTTTATGTGTGAATTCTGGGGGGGCTTGTGTGGTGACACGTTATTGGACATAATTCACCTTGCTTATTGTGTTTCCACACGGACCCTTTAGTGGGGAACACCTGTAGCTTTAGCTGCCATTCCTGCTAGCTCATCAGGCAGAGCAGTGCATGTGTTAACCTCTCTGAAAGTAATGGATAATAAAGATTGGAACTCCATTCTTAATACACCGCCTCCGACTCTCTTTTCACGGCACTACAGTATTAAGAGGTGGAATAATTCAGGTAGGACTGTGTCGGACATCACTGAAGGCCTAGGTGTGAAATGCACGGCCCGCCACTGTGCGTAGTTAACTAGTAGCGCTAGCTTTAGCTAACGTTAGCTAACGAAACGAACTGCCGAGTAAAATTGGAAAACACTGGTAATTAATTATTCTATAATTTGTAAAACTACGGTGTTAAAAACGACAATTTCAAAAATACAGATTCTAATGGTCAGATATAGATATACAGATACTAAAGATAGGCAGGTACTTTCAAGCAGAACACAGGGGAAAACAAATTTAGCGGGAGTGTTTACGTGTTAGGCGTAATGACGTACAACGGCCTCGACAATTTCTGTAGTCCTATTCAACCACTCGGTAACAACCATCGTTTTTCAGACACGTAAACTCTTCAAAAATCACCAGTGGGGTCACTGCTGATGTATTTAATGTCGTAGAACAAAACGTGATTTAACTCTTAAATTTGTGTCAACCACAGACCTTATTTCGAGCTATTTTCCAAAACCATATGGAGAAAATGCATTGCTTTTTGACGAAGGAACCGGAAATGCTAACTTACTTCCGGGTTTTACGACGCGTCACTGCGGTTCTCGGCCCGGGGTGCAAAATGCATCAATGACAGCGACCCTCTACCACACAAAACAACACCATTTATCTAAACACCTATCATGACAGGGCACCCACAGTCAAGTAACAATTACAAATGAATTAAGTCGGCACGGCGGCACATTGAAAATGACTTAGGCCTACCTTTGATGATCAAATCACTTAAACACAAAGTCCATCCTCCTGTTCTTTTGGATGAAGCACTTGATGGCGGGTCATGCAGCTGATCCTTTGCCACTCCAATTTATCATTGTAACTCAATCTTGAAAATGACTCGCTTAATAATTTCGCAACGATGTCCTCACTATCACTGACATCATGAGCCATCATGAACAAACGTATGCTAATCATAAATCTATCGATCATAAATCTATCAATTAGATTTATGATTCGAAAATTATAAAAGTAGGGTAGACATGTGGATATTATCCGGTTGAACAAAACGTGCATCTAACAGGTTCGTTTCCCACAGACCTTATTTCGAGCTATTTTCCAAAATCCTATGGAGAAATCCCAATGCTTTTGTGCCGAGGGAACCGAGGGAACCCGAGCGCAGCTTACTTCCGGGTTTTAGGACGCGTCACTGCAACACGCAAGTGGGGCGGGTCTATGCATAGATATATATAAACAGGGCTGCACATAACTGGTGCGCGAGAGAGAGAGAGAGAGAGAGAGAGAGAGAGAGAGAGAGAGAGAGAGAGAGAGAGAGAGAGAGAGAGAGAGAGAGAGAGAGAGAGAGAGAGAGAGAGAGAGAGAGAGAGAGAGAGAGAGAGAGAGAGAGAGATAGAGAGAGAGAGAGAGAGAACAATTTAAACAGTGGATTTTGTGATATCAGCCGGGGTGAGACAAGACAAACCACAAATGGACTACAGAAGGACACAAAAGGACACATGGTACAGTTTATATTATTATATATATATATTATATTATTCTTCTTCAAAGGTTCTGGATTTGTTTACAAATCTAGAAACTAAATACAAAACTAGGATGATATGAAGATCTCATGTCAAAAATAATTGTGATAAATTAGACATCACTGGCCTGTCTGTGAGCACATTTTATGTTGGTTTGGTTCTTCTGATAAAGGTGTGAATATCTAAATAATATACCAACATATGCTATTATCATTAGTTGTGTCCCTGTTCTTCAAGCTAAGGCATTGCTAAATTAACAACTCTTGGCTTACAGAGTGGTAACATGAGACCGATTTTTATATATAAAATATAAATGTATTTTAATTTTATTATTTATTTTAAATATTAACAATATAATAAAATAAATGGAAATATATACACCGGCAAATATTTAATATAAATACCGTGTGTGTGTGTGTGTATAGCTATTGCTTTATCTGATTAATGTTATTTTCATATGAAAGTCCATGACTATAAGTATGCAGTATCATAACTACATCTTTGATGTTTATAAAAAACCAAACCGTTTGAAAATTGGTTGAAAATTGAGCAAGCTATGGTTATTTAAATAGTAAACCATAATGTTATGAATGAGAGCGCTGCCTGTAGCAAGATGGCGGCCAAGTGGCAACGTCGGTCTCCATTGGCCAGCAGCGCGGGTGAGTCATCTAGTGTTTATATATATCTATGGGTCTATGTACCAACAAACAAGAGACAGCCAGCTAGAAACCTCTGCTCTTTTATAGGGTGCCCCCTGGTGGTGATATGCTCACAAGAACAAAAGAATATGCTTTACAAGGGATTAGGACTCTCATCCTGCTACACATGTAACTTTTTCACAGCTTCCACTGTGGCAATGGGTGATATTATTAAATAATGGTAGGCTAAATGCTACATCATAGTGTAGCAGCAGCTCTCTTATAGTGGAGTGATAAATCAGCAGTGTCACTTACTCACTTAAAACTTTAAGGTAATCTGTAGAACTAAAGTTTGCTAACATAAACTAAAATTAGCCAACATAGGTTATTGTTTACCAGTCACAGGCTGTAGCAGCACACCCCCTGGGTTTGTTATATAATATAATCCTATAGTCCTGTACTCCTGTAAAGTAACAATTGTAGTGATCACTTATTAACACATGCACTGACACATAATTCACACATGGAACTACAGGTTGGGGGTATTGTTTCCGCACGGACATATATGTGGTTAACTGTATATATTGTGTGCCCTCCTTGCTTTTCTTCCTCTTGTCTACTCGGACTGCAAGCCAGCAACATGTCCTTTTCTGCTCCTCATTAAAGTTCCCTTTTGCACCTTCGATGCACCGCCTCCGCCTCCTATCTCTCGGCACTACACAATCTATATTCCATTCACTCTTAATTTTTGTATTTCTCACTTCAACAACACATTTTTGGGTCAGACAGATGTTGAGAACAAGAATGTTGACACTAAAGCGATAAAGGAAGGAGACCAGAGTCATCCAGTATTGCCTGAAGACACAACTTTATTAATAAAATAGCAAGCAAAGAATGTAAAATACAACGCCCAGGAAACAGAGAAAGGCATGTATAAAATCCCAAACAAACCATTAAAGTGGAGATGGGCAGCTGAAGCCTTGCCAATGGCTGTAAACAGTGACAGAGAAGAAGGAAGAACAATGAAAGGGAAAGAATGAGCAGCCGTAAATGAGGCGGCGTGACGAGTGTGTGCTGAGGTTGTCGTTTACACCAACACAATAAAGACATTCACAAGTGTCCGGTAGAGCACAGGGACTGGGGAAAAGGAGATAGACTGGTTTTAAGTGATGCCTCGGGTTAAAGAGTCTGATATTGATGCTGTCAAGTTGCAGAATACAAAACATAGTGTAATGCTGGTTATGGGCTAATACTCTGCTCTTCTCTCCTGCTACCAAAACCTGACATTTGTGAGAAAACAGAGAAAGAGGACACTATTCAACCCCTCAGTGGGATACAGTATGTAGCATGGTTCACACAGGAATAGGATTTTCCGATTACCGAACTTTCCACAGCCCCAAATAAACAATATTAGTTATTCACTTTATGAGTGTTGGGTGTATCATATCTATTTGGAGGTGGTGTGAGATGTTTTAATACCTGTGTGAATTCATCAATCTTTATATGATATACATACTCTTTATTTTTCCCAAGTGTAACTCCCTATTTAAAGAGCCTGTACTTTCCCATGTTCACGGCAGATGAAGCACTGATTACACCAAAGTTAGCTGATGTTCTTCTTGTGCTAAGTGATAGGTCGTCTTACAGAGGTGCGAATATGTGGCTAAGTGTAAACCAAGGTATATTAAAATAGTGGTACCTCAGCCAAGGAGGTTATGTTTATTGTTGGTTTGTTTGTCTGGTTGTCAGTAGGGAAAACATTCAGATTACTTTTTCATAAATAGATCTGAATCATGGTGCAAAAACGACCTTGCCGGAGGTCTGCGCTCTCCAAGTACACTTCTAGTTTATTGAATGTTATCCTGCTTATGTTGCCTTGAGTTTCATGTTCAGCTTTCTACCGTTCCTTCACAGGCTTTCCTTTACTTCTTCGTTCATGTATGCAAACAAATTACATTTTTTAAAAAACAATAATTTCAAGGCCCCTCTTAGAATCCATCCACACTGACCTTAAATATTAAGGCGAGGGTGTAAAATATGTCTTTATACCTTGGAGACATTAGGCTAGATATTATTTTCCGTGTTTGGCACAGCTGCATCTCCAACCAGGCAGCAACTGCTCATTTGAACCACCATTCATGATATTAATGAAAAAACGTGTAACAGTTTGCATTTCAAAATAATCATGTTTGTACCCAAAATGCCAGTTTAAATCACCAGCAAAGTATTGAAGAGTGAAGTGTTCGACTTAAGACATTACTTGTATAACTTGTATGTAACTCCATTAGGCAATCTTTCATAATTTTCATAAAAAATTATATTCCCATTTGTGATTTCTTTCTTGCTTTCAGCCCATTAAATTCAGTGGTATATCCTACCATTGTATTTTTTAACAACCACTGATGCTACATAACTTGGTTTTAAAGATCAGACGAATCCTTGAATTTAACATCTAAATCAGCATAAATAGCTGAGCTTAACTGAGCACTGACACGACTGAACTCTCTCCGTTTCCCTCCCTCTTTCTTTCTCAAACACTCGCAATCATCCATAAACACGTAAAGTTCAGAAATAACTGACAATCTGCGATGAAGGCTGAAAAACCCTCCAGCACTTTGAGGGGGAAAAAAACATGGATCATTTAACACAAAAATCTCCCAGCTGTGTGACACTGAGCTGCTGAACCGATTGCTAGGTGTGATAGGCTTCTTCTTTTATATGTTTGGCTTCATTTCTTACAGTTACCTTCCATTCTTCTACCTGACTTGGAGCAACTTTTGCATCAAGAAAACTGCTAATGCACTCAGTGTCAGGGTCAGACCGATATGTGGGTTTAACAGATTAAAGTGTTGTCTGTTGTCTGCAGTTGATTAAAGTCAAAATAGGTTTACCATATTTGTACCTGGTGGTGGTGGCCGTATGGGTCATATTCAGCCATTGTGGGTGTTGCCTAGGAAGGTTAGTTCCATACTTACAAGCAGTATTGTATTCTGGTTTCCTCACCAATGAATAGGTGTTTATGTGTGGCCTGACCTATAAAGCAGCTGAGCTCTAATACAATGGTTTCATTAGCCTTTGGAGGGGTTTACTGTCTCAAGATGATGTAAATGTTTCAGAGGGTTTGTCCACATGACAACCAGAAACATCGGAGAGAATCCTGAGTCTACCTATAGATATTTGTGGCTGATCAACACTGCAAATAAGTAGTCCGAATTATGTCCGATCTCTAACAGGCAGTCAGGCCTCTATTGTTGTCTCCAGAGGGTGAACTAGGGCAGCCTAAAGCCCTCCACTGATGGCACGCAAGCTACATAAACTCATAAAGTTGTTAAGGCTCACGAGTTGTTTGTTCCAGTACTCTGGAAATCTGGAATGTTGATCTACTGCTTTTAAAGCATTGAAAAAAATTGCCATTTAAAATAAATTCTTAGACATGTTTACATGAATTCATCATTTTACTATTTAATTATAATTATTTGCTTTAAAGTGTAGTTGAATTCATAGACCTGCATGCAGCTGGCGCATATTTCCTCCTATTTACAAAAAATAAGAATTTCACAACGTAGTTCCCCAACGATTAGCAGAGCCTTAGCACTTACGCAAAATACGTGATGATGTCCTTCTGATCAGCACAAGAATCCAATTGGTATCCGCTTACATGCTAGTGTTCTTACAGACTAACTGAGGTCTTCATCCCCATTTGAACAACTTTCGTATCTCCCTATGAAACCAGACACTTTTTCCTGCCTTTCGAAATTGCAAATACTTTTGCCTTTATATGTAAGTGGGAAACAAATCCCTTTTTTTTGTTTAGCGTACCCAGTTCTTTATGAACTAGTGAAAAATAGATAACTATCACAGCAAGACTACCATTGCATGAGAACATTGAATGGCAGTACTGGCATATTGCCGTTTCCATGTAATTCAGTCACAAATATCTGCATGTAGCTTGAATTCCTTTTATGAACTATGTTGGAGAATTTGAATGGAAATGTTGACCAATACTTGAGGTTGAAAGTATTGGCATTTGCCTTCAAAAACCTATATCGGTCGAACCCTGGTTAATATGTACACATATACACAGGAGGTAGGGGTTGAGGGAGGTTTGGTTTAACTATTGATGGAGAAATGTCAACTAAGTTCTGTTGACCAGTCCACAAGGGTGTGATTTTTCGAGACTTACTCACTGAGACAGATTGCATTAAGGGAAAAGTCTTGTAATGTAATCCTGCTGTCACACTGTACCCTTAAATATCTCACTTTACGGAGATATAGGATCGTGGGTTTGGTCGATTGCACTGGAGTAGATCAGTGGGGTGGAGGGTCAGGTGCTGCTCACATGCAGAAGTCAAAGGTCAGGTCGGACTTGCCCATCTTCTGTCTGTACACCGTGTCAAACTTCTCATTCATAGACACTGTGAATACGTCTTTCCACAGACCTGCACGACCTGCAGGCAGGAGACACAGAGAGAGAGGACAGAGGTTTATATTAGTAAGACGTGGGGCGTTCATGGGGCATTCAAATGTTTTTTTTTAAATGTTGATATCAACCTTATGAATGCAGCTCAAACTATTCAATATAGCCCCTAATGGAAGAATAACCTTCCTAGATGCCCTTAATACTAATACCTGTGGTAGTGGGACATTATACGGGAGCTCAACACCGTATAAAAAATTGGAAAGCTGCGTTGCGGCAAGACTGAAAAAATGTGAATCGAATCTTGGAATTTCTGAATCGATTCCGAATCAGCAGAGATAGAATTGCAATTCTTAAGCGAATAAAAAATATTGCGCACCCCTAATCTTACATTTTCAAAGATACCTCACTATCATATACAGATGAAGATGTCATTCTATTCTTTGTTTACTTTTACGTATACCAATAAAAAAAAAAAAGTGTTGTGAATTAAGAGTGAACACAATCAATACACCACATTTTCCCAGTTGAAAGGGCATGAACATTCATTTGCTGATGCCCGCCAATAATGGGGCGAAGCCTGCGAGCTAGTTCAGGCAGTCAACTCGAGCACCAATCACACATTAACATGTGACGCACCTCGTCCCTCTTACAACCAACCAAACACTTTCTCCTAAATATGCCGCTCTATTAAAGCTGCCATGTCTTCTGCCTCTGTCCTCGCTATGCTGCTGCTGCCACTGCAGTGTTCACTTGCTATCGCTGCGTTCATGTTTCCTGCTGCTGTGTTTCATGTTGCTGCTGCTCGCCTGCCCCACCACCGACCCGCAGCTTCCACCTGTAGGCTCGGGGGATAGTTTCCTAATCATCACTCATGTTCTTTGTAAATCTGTGGAGTGATGAGGCCCGAGCCTAGACGCCAAAACTCAAACTATATGCTGCTTATAATAAACATATTAAAGAAACACGTGAGTTGTCCGACTGAACTAAGTTTCCACCAATGTTTCTCTTAAACCGTTGATGCACTTAAATAAACATTTTGACAAAACCCTTCAATTTAAAGCAATCTAGATGCGTTTTAGATGACCTATGACATATATAGGCTATAATGAGTTGTATTTTAACTACTTTCAACATTCAGTGGATGGATTGAGTCCATTCCTAATTTCCCGTTCCATTGCCATAAGTAAATCGAAAATAAGGGGGCAGGGCTTTTAGTTTTCCTTCATTACCAGCACAGTCTTCCTGAAGCCATCCTCAGAAGTTATGGGGACATGATTCTTCATGATGAATTATTTTCTTATGATTCATCGGACACTTTCAGCTGCAGAGTGAACGCAGCCCACCGTGGCTCTGACTCACCTGCTGAGGTGTGTGTGTGTGTGTGTGTGACAGATCAGACTGACACCTGGCAGCTGTGTGTTCAGCCTACAGAACACCAGACACCAGATTTCCATGCACTAAAAGAAAAGGAATTAGATGGGGAAACTGAAATAAAACAAAACAACAGAAATCATAAGCAAACGTGAAAATCTAAATAGGAATGGTAACATAAAATAAAATGACTATTTATGAAAATTAGGGAACAAACATAAAGATGTCTTCATGGAAGTCAAAGATGGTTAAATGAAAATGGATTGAACCTACAGGTTGAAATTACTTTACAGTCTAAAGCTGAATTGCAATATATGGTGTAAGTGCAAACTGTGTCCACAAGGTGATGCTATAATCAACTCAACTGAGCATAAGAAATACCTTTTATCAATGTACACAACTTGAAGATCCCATGACCTACTTAGATAATTATGTGCAATATTCAATACGTTATAAAAAGGACTTATATGAATAATTGCATGTATACTGTAAATAATGGTTTGGGATTTAGTTGGATATTATTTGTATTTCATTATAGACATTTGAGTGTCCTTTTTCATTTCATAGTAACATTTTCCCCAGTAGTTCAAGTTTATTATTTCGCTTCTCATGACAGTGGTGTGTAGGAATTGTTTTTGCATTAGCTAAGGAGCTAACTGGCTAAATCCGATAGCAAAATGCAATTTTGATGATTTACGTGAAACTCGGAAAACGCAATTCTATCAGCAACCTTATGGATTATGGGACAACAACTGTAATATCATAAACTGAAGGACCTGAATGTCAGATGCAATGAAATTGTAATACAAATGGTTTGAAGATACATTTGGTGGATCTAATGCTTCTCCTTTGAGGCCTAAATAAAAAGCCCTTTTACCAAGACCTCAGAGACAGAACATCCAAACAGTTTTCCTCTCCCACTCACCCCTGCAGATGGACAACGCCTCAGAGTTGCTGCACTGCTCGATAAGCTGGTTGCAGCTCTCCACCATGCCCTCCAGCTGAGCCTTGTCACAGGAAACACCCAGGAACTGAGCTAACTGTTGCACCAGCGTGCCCAGATCCTGGAGGGGAGATGAGAGGTTAGGACATGAGAGGTTAGGACATGAGAGGAGAGGAGAGGAGAGGACATGAGAGGTGAGGTTAGGACATGAGAGGTTAGGACATGAGAGGTTACGACATGAGAGGAGAGGAGAGGGGAGGAGAGGGAGGGGAGAGGGAGAGGAGGTAGGAGAATGACATGAGAGAATGAGGTTAGGACATGAGAGGTTACGACATGAGAGGAGAGGAGAGGAGAGGACATAAGAGGTGAGGTTAGGACATGAGAGGTTAGGACATGAGAGGTTACGACATGAGAGGAGAGGAGAGGTTAGGACATGAGAGGTGAGGTTAGGACATGAAGGTGAGGTTAGGACATGAGAGGAGAGGTTGGTGGTTCCAAATCTAATAAAGTACATCTACTCAAGTACTACCTTTTTAAGTACAATTTTTGTTCTGCTATTTTACACTTCTATTTCACTAAACTATTGGAAGCTAACATTGCAATCACTCTACAAAATGTTATCAGCTTTAGTTACTTTAGCAGATTCTTAGTTACTACAATAAACTATGATTTATTATTATTTAGGTAGGTTAAGATATCCAGCAGCAGTTTATAAACTCTTTAGAATCAGCTTCTCCTATCTGTGATAGACAGATTCATGTGTCAATAATCATAATACAGTCCTTTTTTAAATAAATCATTCTGATATACACCATAACCAGTACTTTCACTTTTGGTGCTTTAAGTATATTTTAATGGCCATCCTTTGTGTTACTTAAGTAAAGGGGACAAAGGCAAGGCAAGGCTAGATGAGCAAGGCTAGATGAGCCAAAAGGACTAAATGTAATGCTCTGTAAGGACAATACGTCATCGAGTAGCGGTTTAACCTAATGATTGATTAGGTTGAATTAGCCCTGGGTTGAATAGGCCTGCACATTCATGTGTTTGTTCAAGGCAGGTTCAGAGGTCACTGAAGCTGTTTCACAAGTTATGGTACACTTTCCTTTCTCTATAATGAGTTGTCATGAAATACTATGTGGAAACTTAATTCACAAAACTACCAAAAGATGGCTGAGGTTAGGAATTTAAGTTTATTACCCTAAAAGCAGTTTTAGATCACTTGCATTCTGCTTTCAGTTCTTAGAAATCTAAAGCCTATCTGCAAAACAAAGGTCATGTTTGAGTCTAACTCTTAAAAGTGATAAACCAGATAATGTACAAAGGGACCTTTGGTAAAGCAAAGGGTAAATATTGATTTGGCGTAGTTTGTTACTTTTCTTTGAGTTTAACACAAGAACGCGTCCCTACAAAGTTAGATAGTGTTGTGTGAAAATAAGTAAGCTTCTTGAAAAATGATGGGGACAGGGTTTGAATTGGGTAAAAAATCGTTGATTCTGGTATGATAATGAAAAATATAAATGTTCTTTACCTTCTTTACATTGTACAGATTGTGAGATAAATAAGAGATACCAGTTTTGAGTGTTTTCCACAAACACGTCGTTTTTTTTGATGGAGTGTAAAAAACCTGATGGCTTAATTGGTTTAAAATATTGAATACAACTCAGATTAAACAGTGACAGGATTTTGACGAATATAGGATTTTGCATATAGGGCTTGCCATTTGTTTTTCCTACTGTAGGGTATTTTATTCTCTGTTTATCTCTCTCCCAAAGAGCATACATGTTCGGAACTCCCTTTAATGTCTAAATATAGGTTAAATGTAACTTCCCCCACAAGAGCTGCACAGTACAGCAGCTCCACTGGGATTGTTTACTGACCCACTTTCTATATTAATTACTCTTTACATTCAGTGGAATCAAATCCTTACAAAGACCACAATACTGGATGATGGTCTCTATTGTTAGCATCAAGACAAGATGTTGGTATCAATTTCAAATTGAGTAGTATTGACCATAGACCGTATATTTCAAGTATTGACCAATCATGTTGTAAACAAAAGACCAACAACAGGCATAAAAAACAACTCTTGGTCCGGACAGCCGTTAGCTCGACCTGATACCCCAAAATATTGCCCCCTTGCACAAAGTCTTATCGTCCCCATCAAAAGCCGGTTTTGAGATTGACAGGGTAATGACTTTAAGTGAAATAATGTCAAAATAAGAGCTCACAGACAAACCCCAAAACAAGAATGAGGATGTTACCTTGTACATGTCTTCATACTTTAAGAAGAGGACATTGGAGTCCATGCGATGTTCCCAAAATTCCTGAACGTGATCAAACCAGGAACCGTATCCCACTGTGAGAAGAGAAACACACACACAGATGGATAAACTCCGTAGACAAACACTAAAGGAAATCACCGAGATGGTTCAGTCCTCTAGAACCCTGCATACTCACGCTTGTCATGCATGAAGCGGCGGCAGAACTCCTGGAAGGTTCCCCGGTAGCTCATGGTCCTGAGGCTGCGGTGGAACTGGTAGTAGGATACCACCAGGTCCTTAGGGTTACGAGCCATGTAGATCACCTGGAAGAGAAGAACCATGGTACTCGCTACAGTCAGATACAAGATATCAGTCCCAGGTAATGCTGAGGTTGGAGAACAGTCCAATAAAATGTGGTTATTGGAGCTGATGGAGTGTCATCTTTGAAAGACTGCACATGAGAGACTATATATTTTTTTTAATATATTTATTCTTTAACCTTTTGATTGAGTGAAAATGTAATTGTTTTTCATATTATCCTGTTTGACTGGTTAATTATTGTAATTATTTTCCAGAAATAGAAAGTATTACATATTTGTATTTGATACATATACACAATATTGTACTTATGTATTTCATTTTTATTTTTTTGCCTTTTTATTTGATAGTACAAACAATGATTACAACATTGGGTTATACTTTTATTTTTGATCTATTTTATTATGTATTTGCAATTATTTTAATAATAGATTTTACTCTGGGATATTAAATTACTTTATATTGTATTATACACTCAAAATTATAACTGTCCAACTTTTATTACTTGATTTGTATATTTATGAAACCATATGAAACCAACATGTAGTATTGGTTACTAATGTTTTGGGGAAATACAACACTCGGTATCGAACAAATAAAGCTTTCTAATTTCGATGTTTTGTTAACTTTTTCTCCTCTAATCTTCATGTATAGTACCGGGTCCTGAACTCATGTGAAGCTCCCAAATCTGAAAACTTCTAAATAAATGCAGTGAAAATGAATTATTGCATATTTGCGGTCCATTATCGGAGGACTGACCTTGGCCTCTCCGTTGTGCATGGCTGTGGGGAGGAACCGATAGGGAAGATGGCTTTTAATCAGACGAGGAGAGGTCAGCTCCTGTGGGGACACAAAGAAAGGTATTACTTTAATCTGTATTCTTTTATCCAGTCTTATTGGCTCAAAAAGTCAGATCCCAAGCTCTGTTTCTTGGAAAATGTCATACATTGTCTTATACAGTAGCAGTCAATGTTGAAGTTCTAGCTAGCCACGATGCTATCACTGTCTCTGTTCACTAAGTGAATGTGAAACAGGTTGAGCAATAGAAGGGAATGTATTCCTTTGAAAGACATTTTGCTGATAAGTACAAGCCCTTAATTTCCATCCACCCGTTTTTATAGTAATTTTGAACGTGTTCATTAGTCAGAATCCAAGTAGTCCTTATGAATCACATTTTACAATGACAAACAGGGTCCTACAATTCCTAGATCTGTCTGGCATGCTGTTTCCAACATGTTATGAACAAGCTGAAATGATATCATCAGGGATTTGTTTTTCAGACTCTGTGCGGAACTGGATAAGACATCAACAACCGTTTTCACAGTGCCCATCGTGAGTCATATGACCTTTTTCATATAGTATCAGTGTTGTAAAAAATGGGGGTTGTGATTAGTTGGATGTTAACAGCTTTTCATTCCAATGAAACATACAATCCTGGGCAATGGCTGATAGTTGGTAAAGAGTTTAAAGACAATTGATGTGAGATGGAGAACTTGTGGATTAACACTAGCTTTTCAGAAAACAAAATATATAAATGAACCAGGGCGTGTTGCCTTGCAAGCAAGATTAGCCTTGTTTTGATTGTGCTGGAGTTATTAAGACCAGCATCTTCTCTTTTTTAATATCTAAACAACTTTGTTGTATACTCCTACTCCCGGCAAAAGGCATACCCCAAAAAAGCCAAAGTCTAATTATGAATGCTAACCTGTTTTTGGCTACATTACCTGTATAATGTCCAGGCCAGGTTGGGGGTACTCCAAGACAGGAAGCTGTTCATCGATGTTCATAAGGCCAATCTCATCTGGGTCTGCTCCCTGACTCACAAGATACACAATCTCCTGAAGTAGACTGGTGCCTACAGAGAGAGAAAAAAAAGCCAGGGGATATTCAGGACTGAGACGTCATTAAGGGTAAAAGCAAAATGGTCGTGCACAGGTTTAGCATTTAGTAAACTCGGGTCAAACTAACGGTTGGAATGTTAACTAAAAGAGTGGGTCAACAAAAGCTTTGGGATCACGGAAGGGACAAAAACCTACATATTGTTATTGGGAATAAAACATTTTGAAAATGTGAAAGGTAAATTAGCCATTTGTAATGCAGTCATGATAATATTTCAGATGTTGTGTGTTCAGCTGTCTCAAAAGACCGAAACAATACACTTTCATGCAGCTTTAATAATACAAAATACATATCTTAATTAATTTAGCAGAATCACAAATAATTGTTCTTATTCCACACATTATTCAAATTCTACCATGTGAGATGCCTACACACTACCCACAATGCAACAAGACCACAACAAAAAGTACTTGTTTATTTTTCCCACTTTTCAGTTAGCTTGGTGATACAATGCTTAACTTTCTACCCCTACCCACAGTCACTTATCATCAAGAGTCTTTCTTATTCGGTTACAGTTTTCAAAATGTTCTTTTATACACACTTTTGGATAATAGAAGTGTAAAAATGCAACAAAATGAAGGGTGGTGCCCCATGGGAACAAACAGTGCGTGGGGACTGTGTGAGGCCTCAGGCTGGCCACATGCTGTGAAACAAAATGAATCATGCCATTAAGATTTCTGTCAGTTCCCTGAAAAACTGCCTCGCTCTAAAAGAAGACTTTTATCACTAATTTGTACCAGTTATGATGTGTTTTGAATGCATGAAAGGGTGCTGTTGTGTTTTTTTATCAGATTTAATTTCTAGACCTATACGCTAATGTCCTCTCCAGTGGATGATTAATCTAGAAGGAGGTAAACGGAAAACTTAATTGTTTCATCGCTGATGTTGTGAGGTGCAGAATGAAGAAGAACTAGAGTTCCATGACATTTGTTTTGTAGAAAAACAACTTTAGAACTGTACTTTAAATGTAGTTTAAAGAGGCCCTATTATGCGTTTTGGTGTTTTCCATTTCCTGTACTGTGTTTATATCGGTTTATGTGCATGTCAATGGTCTGCAAAGGCTAAAATCCTAAAGTTCCATCAAGAGGCAGTTTCTCTCCCCCCCTGCATGAAACGCCTCTTCTCGACTTCTTTGTTTACTTCTGTAATAAAAAAGTGACATCACTATGTAACACTTGTGATTCTACTGGCACTCCAATACATTGAACATTATAAGGGGTGGGACATCTCTAAGCAGTTAATCAATCACAACAGAGCGTGCCAGCTAACCAATCAGAGCAGACTTGGCTCTGGTTTCAGACAGAGGGTGAAAAGAGGTGCTGCAGCACAGGCAGTATGACAAAAATAAAGACCTGGAAATTCCCACTGTCTACAAGGGTTAACCTTCAAACCATAAAGAATCCAACATTTCCCATGATGCAGTTACATTAGCTTTCATTGGACTCTCTCTGTCTGATCAACGTCAACATATTTTATTTTCTAAACTAAACTAAACTAAACTGTAGAGCTTATTCACAGGCTGAGTCATGCTCTCCATGACTTGATTGCGTGCCTCCTTTTAAATATGCATTGTTAAAGCAAAATTCTGCACAGCATGCAGCCCAGCAGAGGATGCTCTCTCCTCCATGGTGGTACTTTTGTTTATACTTGCCCTGTGTGATTTATGAGCGTATGGCTGATGTCAAAACACCATAAATGCACAGCCATTATATACCATAACACATCCCCACACTCCCACCCCCCTCTGTTTATAGAACCTTGCAAATCCCATTGGCCATGACTGTCACATGTGAGCCAATAGCCTGATTGCTTTGCAGCATCCTGACCATGTGGCCTGCCATGTGCTTTCCTTCCCTCTGCAGCAGAAGAGGTAGATACACCAACATGGAAGCATGAAGCAAGGGAAACATGTTCTTGCTTTGGACTGTTTCTCTGAAGTGCAATAAAAACCGAAGACTTCTTAAGATACAAATGAATGTATAACTGTTTTCTCTCCAAAATCTCATCAAATTAGACAAACTGTTTTACAGCCTGGTGGATGTTCCTTTTTTTAATAGGGTTTCCAGCACAAGAGACATTATTTAGATATTGGAGAGCTGTTGTGATTTGAAAGAAAGAAGGGACATCAAGTTCAGGACAGTTGTTTTTTTGCCTATAAAGTGTTAGGGAACATTTCAAATCGAGCTGTGATAAAGTTATGAAAGCATGTGTTTGAACAGCAGAGCCATTGCAAAAGTGTGGTGAGCCTTCCTCCTAAAGGGCAGAACGGGCGACTTAACTGGTTGTAAGAAAGAACTGAGATTGTCTAAAGGTCTATAACAAAAAGACCTCCGTAGACATTATCTTAATGAGTACATGGTTTAAATCGGTAGTTAAATGTCGGCTTCAATACAGCATGATGTTCATTTTGTAAATGATGGTCCGATTTTGAGTAAAAAGACGATAAAGCAGCATTATTGTGCGGCTTTCTTGTGATTGACAGGTCACTATGGGTGTTGTCCATTTTTTTTCTATACGAACCTTAACCCTTACACTGTGTTTTAAGTTAATGATAGTACATTTTTTGGATTTAAGTCATGTTCATTGTTAAGTTAAGTACTTTTTCCATTCTCTTTTTGTTTCTTTTTGCTAGATCTAAAAAGCCAAGATGGCGGTGGCCTAAACTTGAGGCTTCAAAACAGTAGGTCATAAACCAATGAATGTGTATCTATGTATATAATAATAATAATAATAATAATAATAATAATAATAATAATAATAATAATAATAATAATAATAATAATAATAATAATAATAGTGCATCAGCCAGACTGTTTATAATATTAAATGAGCAAAACCAAGATTAAAACCACACTGAAACATTTACAAATACTTCTTAACCTTTTCATCAATAGAAATATTGTTTTTCATGTTATAACATTGCACTTTTCTTTCTACTGTCAGCATGAGAGGTATTCAGGAGGGTCTAAATGAATCATGACCGTGAACAGTTTGCACACGGCCTCCGGGGATGAAATGGCAGGATGCAGCACATCTACATCTGCTTGCAGGACAAAACCTAAACAGGAAGCAGCACGGTCTGTTACACACAGTAGAGTTAGGCTCTTCTGCTTTCTTTCACAGTATCATGTAACAGGATGAGTACAGTATGATGCAGCAACACAATCCACTCACTACCATCTGCATACTAATGTGTTCATTCAGTCAAATATCATTCATTGTTCAAATAAACTGTAGAGCACTCTTAATTTGGGCTTGGTATTCAAACCCATTTATGTTTTAGGCTTCTGGTATTTTCACAAAGATCATTTTAAATGTATTAAACCAATGGTCGCAACAACAATGGCTACTTAAATACAGTCCAACGCAATCACTGGGATTTTTCACTAAGAGGGAAGAAGTTGCTGCTCCAATCAACTTTGGTGTACTCTGACCCTGAATTTTCCCACTATTTTACCCTTTCAATAACTTTTTAAATAAAAATCGTGTACAAAGTGTATAAGAGAAATTAGAACAATGGAAAGACAATGAAAAGCATCTCTATCTATATATATTGTTGTTGAATATTACTGGACAGCTATCAGTTAGCTAACAGGCTACATTTATTCTTTGCAAAGACAGGAAGATTAATTACGTTTTATCCCTTTCTGGTGTGACTAAAGCCTTTTCAGGACAGGTTACTCATACTAATTTTTCAGCAGAGAATGTATGAATGGATCACAGTGAAAATTAAGCCAGAGATATGACAACCAGAGCCAGTTCTAGTGTTTTGCACCTTGTTTTTTCCTTGTATATTTAGACATTAGTAAGACTACACTTATATAAACTGGATGTGTGTTTTGCTATTGAATGGGTGGAGATGCATTGATTGATGTTTCATGACTATAACTTTCTTCCGAGGCCCACAGGTGTTCCAATGCTACTTAGGAAATATAAATCCCTCGACATGAATCAAACCCCCTCAGCCCTTATGCATGCACTAACAGCGGGCTCCAGCTGCCCTCCAGCCGTCACATGACCGGACCCACCCAGGGCACCGAGCCCCAGCCGGCTGCAGCAGCACTGCACCACAACACAACGGAGCTGGATGTAAACACCAACTTCCATCTGTGCGTGATAGTGCGTGCTAATATTATGGTGTGTGCTGAAGGCCGTGCAAGCTAACTGATGCACTAACATGCAATACTCGGTTTGTATTGACTCGATTTCCTAGGATACAGTGTGTAATATTTAAAGAAAGAGGCTTATAACATGTAATTATGATGCACAGTATAAACATAAACAGGCTAACTGCGACTCACCTATTGCTGTTAAATACGGACTGAATAAATGGTGATGCATGCTAAAGGCAACACATCACACGTTGTAATTTGATGCAAGTGTTATTAATATTTGCATGAAACTTTGATTATCACAAGGACATCCTGCAGTCTCCTACATAACCGCAAACAGCCAGGAAATGTTCGGACACAGAGCTCCGCCTGAAGGTGACGCAGAGGCTTGTTTACCTGACTTTGGGTAGGTGACAATCCAAATGTCGCTACTTCTGAGGGAGAAGTTGGCGATCTCCTCCATCTTCCCCCTGCAGAAGGGCGGCAGCCGCACTCCATCAAACTCGAAGTATTTGCTCTCAAACTCAATCGGCGTGCTCGGCGTGTCTGCCTCGCTCTCGGCCATCCTCGAAACGAGCCGCCAGTGCACGAACAAGTGAAACGAGCACTCCCACGCGAACTGTTTTTTCAAAATAGTAAATCAATCGTGAAGGTGTTGGTGGTGGTGGTGATGATGATGATGATGATGGGGAAGTTGATTTAGAAACAGCGCTGCCGAGGATGCTGGACGGCGGGCGGAGGAGTTGACAAGCAGCCAATCATGTGGGAGAGAAGTGATGTAATGCGCGCACACGAGTCCCAGCATCAGGACCACACTCACCGAGCTCGTGGATGCGCGCGACTGCAGAGGAAGGATGCTTCACAACACATTTGACAGATTTACACGCTCCAGTTAAAGTAGGCTATCCTATTACCATAATGCTGCTGTAATATTCCTATAACATTAGGTAACGTTTTCTTATTGTGCATCATACAGACAACACCATTACCATGCATACATTTTGTAGGCCTATACTATATATAACCTTTATTGTTCTGGCATAAATTGTCTCTCTCATGGGCTTAAAGAGTATGTAAGTGCTTTTAACGTAGGTAATTATGTGTAATTACTATAGGCAGTGAGGACAAGTATATATACACCTGAGCAAATCTAACCCAAGCTATGCCCTATTGTAAGCTAACAGTGAAAAGGAGAGTGATCTATCACCATGAGAGACAGTTTATGATGAGCATAGACATATTAAACAGGTGGGAGAAATCTTGAAATGACTGTTAAGTCGAAAACATTGGATGGGTTTTTGTGTGTTTACTACCTTCTCTTTTTTTTAAAGGGTTCGTTATGTCACTGCCTGTTGTTCAACCCACTTGCTGATGATTGGTTCTTGTAAAGGCAATGGCACTGATAGACGTGTCTTAATCCAATCATGCTCTCACTAACATTTGTTGCATTGACTGTCCCTCGTAAATCTTACTGTCTATAATTGACAAGCGAAGCTACAGGCACATTCAGTCTTCATGTTGCCTTACGTTTCAATTCATGTATTTATTTAGTCTGTAAACGTATTATGTCATGCCACTTTGTTGAACCACACCCTTTTCACCTGGCTACATCAAAACTGGACAATAAAAACATTTCAATAGGTTAATTAATATTAATAATAATAATAATGATAATAATTCATTACATTTTTATTAGAGCGCTTTTCCAGGTGCTCAAAGCGCTTTATTTATTTTCACTATCCATCTCTGTAAAGCGACTTTGAGCACCTGTAAAAGCGCTAACAAAATAAATCTATTATTATTATTTACAATTTCACATTACACAAATTAATGTATTAATAACTGTGGACAAAACCCACTTGAGCAAATTAGATGTGCGTGTGTCTTAAACAAAATACAACTGCACTGACATATTTAGCTTTTCACATTTTATAAATAAAATCCCCATAGTGAAAAAGAAATCTAAATACGCACTAATGGACCAGTTGAGTGAGAAGCCTGATATTTCTGACAGCCCCTGAATGCATTATTGACAGAGCGTCCTCCCTGTACTTCCCCTTTAAGAGCCAGTTGTTGACCTGTGGATTCAGTTCTCCAGTCTGCCTCACTCCGCCGGTGAGGTCGACTTTCTGTCCGCTGTCAGTGCTCCCGATGGTCGACCTAAATGGCGACTGGAACCTGTCTTTCGCCGGTTGCGGGTTTCTGGGGATTTACCACATCGGAGTTGCTAGCTGCCTGCTGGAAAAGGCGCCATATCTTCTGAAAGGGGCAACCAAGTTATACGGAGCCTCGGCCGGTGCTCTGACCGCCTCGGTGCTCGCCAGCCAGGCATCCATAAGTAAGCTGAACCGCTGTGGTGTGGACTCAGGAAGTCCTATTGTTATATAATAAATACTGTATATATGGCATAGTTTGCCTTTACAACGCTATTAATACACGTATACAAGCCAATGTCTTGTATGTTATACTAGAACACAATGTCCAATATGATATCATTATGGACATACTGTATGTGATGTATATTTTTTTTATATTGGTTAAGACAAACACTGAGAACCATTACTTCTCATAGCCTGGTGTATGACTCTGCTGCTAATAATTAATAACATCACTGTCACTTTACAATGTCATTTGACTCAAAATTAGGCTTAACATCTTTTAGTTCAGTTATTGGGGTAAGAAAACTGGTAGCATTTTAGTAGATTAAAGTGAATGTTGGTTGAATTTTTGGACAAAACTGCCTCAAAAGTATATATTTTTTTTTAGCATATAGGCCTAGGAATGCCAAAATATGTTATAGTTTAGTAAATTAGTTATAGATGAAACATAGGGAGCTTTTCTAGTGTTCAAAAACAGGCCGACTTCTGTCAGAGGCGCTCCTTTCACTTTCTCTTACATGAATAAACATCATATACTCATGTATGGACTAACTTGAAGCTATGTTGACCTCCGTATCAGCTTGAAAGAGGGCTTGCTAAGGTTAATGTTGGTCACTGACTCCAGGTAGCTTAAGTTAATTTTGATTTATCAGCATGTTAATACTTGAAGATCTGTTTATTTATTCGCAGTCGATTGATCAGAGGGAATCCTCCTACCAAGGTTCCATCTCCTAAAACCGAAACCCCTGTTTCTGTCTCTTGTTTAGTAAAATGTTGTGAAGATGTGATCGAGGTGGCCAAAGAGGCCAGAAAGAGGAACCTCGGCCCCCTTCACCCCAGCTTCAATCTGGTCAAGGTGATAAAGTCTGGCCTGGATCGAGACCTGCCCTCCGACGCTCATATCCTGGCCTCGGGGCGGCTCTGTGTTTCGCTCACCAGAGTGTCCGACGGGAAAAACGTCATAGTGTCAGAGTTTAACTCCAAAGATGAACTCATCCAGGTGCGTGTAGTTGGTGAAAAAATCTGAAGAAGCCTCTAGGGCCCTGTGAAAATAATCCAAGCCGCAGGAAGTAGATTTACTCTGGTTTAACTGTGCACTCTTTCCACAGGCGCTGGTCTGTAGCTGTTTTATTCCCATCTACTGCGGGCTGATTCCTCCTTCCTTCAGAGGAGTGGTATGTGTCTGTGTTTGAATCACTACTCATTCAAGTTTAGTTTGGTTTCCCTTTTGAGATGCACAATTATTTGAACAAAATCATATTTCTACTCTCAATGCCATGAGACTTCAGATAAAGTCAAAATCATACAAAGGTGTTCCCTTTCTTAATGTATGTAATTCAAAGGTCATTTGGAGTGCCTTTGGGTGCATGTGTTATCCAAAACCATTATATTTATATAACAGTATTCCAGTGAACTCTCAATATAGGATTGAAGAATGTGCTAATAATAGGTCGAACTGCAAGGCTCCTATGATATCATTTTGTTTTCAAATAGAGATTTTTTCCTAAAACCAGTGTTGCCTTCACGTTGACTTATCGGCTGCTTTTGGACTTTGACATTGATCTATTCCACTAACCGAGATGCGGCTACTGTGTGTGTGTGTGTGTGTGTGTGTGTGTGTGTGTGTGTGTGTGTGTGTGTGTGTGTGTGTGTGTGTGTGTGTGTGTGTGTGTGTGTGTGTGTGTGTGTGTGTGTGTGTGTGTGTGTGTGTGTGTGTGTGTGTGTGTGTGTGTGTGTGTGTGTGTGTGTGTGAACAGACAGCACTATTCAGATCAGCTTCCTCTCCTCTGTTGCCAAGTCACACAGAGTCACAACTATGTCAAATCAGATTGGATTCAGATGACGTTATACAGTTATGACAAAATACAAAGGTCAAGTGTGTCATGATGAAGGCAGATAAAGAAAATCATCGATGAGATAAAGATGTAAATGCGAAAATTATCTTTCGATTTTAACAAAAAAATGCTACGATGAATAAATTAAGCTAAAAAAAAGTATTGAATATTGAGGTGTCAATAGAAATGTAAGCGCAGGAAGGAGCAGAAGTGTCAGTTGAAGCACTCATAGTTTTGGGTAATAACAGCAGAAAAAACTTAATTTGAGTTGAAGTTAAACTGCCTACAACAGTTTGTGTATTCACTGAAAGGAGTTGAACTGTCTTAGTACGGCTGAACGCAGTTTAAATGCCAAATAAACAAAATACAAGTCAATAAGCCCGACCTTTACAATGACAACAGATGTAAGTTCACAACCTGATGACATGAAGTATAGTACAGTGCAAAACAAGACTTTCCAATAATAACTATACAGTTCCAGCTAAAAGTAATTTAAAGGAGCAGTGTGTACGATTTAACGGCATCTAGTGGTGAGGTTGCAGATTGCCACCAACTATACCCTTCCCCACACACAATTCCTCTTTGTAGACCCTAAATAGAGTCTGTTGTCTCAGTCTTGGTGCCAAAGTTCAGCATCAAAACTCCACGGGGAACGCAAAGAGTCAGGATTCATTTAAACTGTTGACATGTATCACCAATCTTTGACTCCGTCTCTCCTCTTCCCTCTTGCTCTATTAACACAGCTGTGTTTATGCAGTCAGCTGCCGTTATCTGTGGATTCTGTACATTGTGTTCTTTCTGAGCTTGATTTATAGCCCAGTTAAGTGTGACTCACCTCTGTGTGCTCTGGTGTGTGCATTAACTTGGGCCTGGGGACAATTCTAGATATCATTAATGTACTTGTTAGAAAACATGATTTAGTAGGCGTTTATAAGAGCAAACTGAAGGATTTTTATTAAGATTTACACTCACTTAAAGGGGACCTATCATGCAAAATGCACTTTTGTACGTCTTTTATACATGAATATGTGTCCCCGGTGTGTCAGGGAACTCACTAAGTGTCAGAAAACACAACCCTCTCTCTTTTCCTCCATACCACTCCATATTTTCACACGATAACACATATACTTTCCTGTACATTTAAAAAAAAAGTTATTTGAAAGGACTATGTAATTTGTATATTAAGAAGAAAATAATATTTGATTGGATTAAAATGGTAAACCAAAAGTAAAGTATATATATTCAAGCACTTATTCAACAATTAAGAATCTACTCAACTAAGTTACAACTTTAAATCTTCCTGTTTCTTTCTTCAATGATAACATTTGTTTGTATTTGCAATTTTATGAAAACCTGTTAAGTTTTCCCCCCTGATTTCTCCTAAGAAACTAAGAATCTGCCTGTAAAATATAGTTTTACTGATAGTTCTTCACATCCAAGAGAAACAAAAGCCCAACGGATGCTCGATAATGATACAGATATTGATATTCTCCAGTTATATTTACTTTTAAACAACTTGCAATGGATATGTACGGAGCAAGATTAGTAGTCTTTGAGCTGAACAGTGGCGAGCCGTCAGGGCCCTCTAGGATATTTAAAAAAATTAT